CACACATACAGCACATACATAAACATACACCACATACACAAGCACACACACATAATCACACACAAATACATACCACACACACAAATAGACACACCACGCACAAACACACACATTCAACATATACCACACTCATTTTCATGCACATACACACTTATGTAAACATACACATACAAAATTAAAAGAAACATAGAAGAAATACATCATAGTGTTTCTTTTTTTCATGAAATTATGTAGTTTGGATACTGAATGGCATCTTTTCTGTATTTTCATTTGTTCTTGGCCTTTTACTAAAGGTTTTCAACACATACTCCAATGAAGACTATGATGGAAGAAATGATCAAGTTGGCCGTGTGGCTGCATCTGAGTATGAACTTGAAAAGCGAGCAGAAAAGCTGGAACTTTTCCCGGTGGAGCTGGAGAAAGGTACAGCAGGACTCCAGTGTTTGTGTCTTCGTGTCTCTCTAGTAACAAGGTGTGTCTTTTCCAGAGCATAGCTTGTTTCTGAGTTCTTACTCAGTAAACTTGTGCCTTTCCCCGATATTGACCGAGTTTCGAAGAGTTTTTTTGATGTGGATTTTGAGCAGATTCTCTACTTAATGACTTTCTCATCTCACCAGCTCCCAAACAACTCAGTTCCCGTATCTGGCTGGGCTAGTGGTTCATATGGGGGGTGTGACACAAGCGGTGTGACACAAGAGGAGGAAGCCTCAACTGAGATGGGCACTCGTGGAGGGCCGGAGCTGATGCAGACGCCACAAAGGGGAGCTTACTGGCTTGCTCATCATGGCTTCCCAGCCTGCTTCCCTGTGGAATCCAGGACCACTGGCCCAGGTGTGGCATCACCCACACTGGCCTGGGCCCTCCCGCATCAACTACTAATTAAGGAACTCCTGAGTTCCCGTCTGACTATTTTTAATGATGAACTGTGATGTGGAAGTGGGGGAGAAATTATGTAAATGCATTATATATACTCATTTATCAGTATACTCATTTATCAGATTGCTTTAAAATAACATTAATATAAATGGGCTAGAAGATTCTGAATTCTATTTTTCACTTTGAGCTTGCAGAATGCTCATTAAATGTGTATTTTTTAAATTATTCTGTGACCTTGCAGTGGATGAATGAAAGCCCCTTTAGCCTAACTTTAATGTGGTTCTTTTAAAAATACATTTAGAAGAATTTGTGTGTGGTGGCACACGCCCTTATTCCCAGCACTTAGGAAGTAGAGGCAGGATGAACTCTGTGAGTCTGGGGCTAGTCTAAAGGGCTGGAGGGATGGCTGGAGTTTAGTTCCCAAGCCTCTTAATAATTTACAAACCCAGTTTGGCTTTAAACTTCCTATGTAGTCATGCATGAGCTTGAACTTCTGACCCTCCTGCCTCCAGTACCCAAATACTGGGATTACAGACATGCACTACACACCTGGTTTATGCGGTGCTGGGGATGGACCCAGGATTTACAGGGGTTGGAGACTGGGTTTGTAAACATGGTGTTTTTGGTTGTTTTATTTGCATGTGTCTGTGTCTGAGTGAGTCTCTCTCCGTCTCTCTTTGTGTGTGCACATGTGTACATGCTCCTCAGCTTGCAGAGACCAGAAGAGGGCATCGGGTGTCCTCTGTTACTCTCCTCCTATTCTTGGGTTGGTTGGCTGGTTTTGTTTTTTGAAGCAGGGTTTCTCTGTGTAGTCTTGGTTGTCCTGGAACTTGTTCTGTAGACCAGGCTGGCCTTGAACCCAGAGCTCTGACTGCCTCTGCATTCTGTGTGCTGCAGTTAGAGGCGTGCACCACCACCACCCAGTCCTCCACCTATTCTTTTAAGGCAGGGTCTCTCCCTGAACCTGGGGCTCACATTTTCTCAGCTCTCAAGCCCCAGCCATCCTCATGTCTCTGCCCCCTCAGAGTTGGGGTTACAGGAGTGTGTGGGATGCGTGGACTCCACTCAGCATGATTGCAGAGCATGTGCTCTTAACCTCCAAGACTCCTCTGGATTTGCAAATTAATAATGATAATAATAGCAATAATGTCTCTGGACTGTTCACTATATGGATGCCCAGACAGAACACTGTTTTTGTTGTTGTTTATTTGTTGAAGATTTATTTTATTATTTATGTGTCTCTGTATGTCCAGGCACCTGCTTGTGCATGCACCGTTGGATGTAAGAAGAGGGTGCCTGATCCCTTGCAGCAGAACCCAGTAGTTTTAGAGAAGTGAACTCAGGTCCTCTGAAGAGCAAGAAACTCATTGAACTGCTGAGCCATCTCTCTAGCCCCAAATCTCTTTGTTTAATTACATGTGTGTGTGTGCTCAGGTGTGCATGCATGAGTGAGTTAATTTGCTGGAGACAGATCTCTCCCCTAAGTGAGAATTGAACTGAGTTTGTCAGGCTTGGTGAAAGCATCTTTACCTCAGTGTCCCTAATTTTTCAAGTAGGAAATCTGTTGGCATTAAGCAGACTTTTTGTTTGTTTGTTTGTTTGTTTGTTTGTTTGTTTGTTTTTGTTGTTGTTTTGAGATAGGATCTCATGATTCAGACCAGGCTGGCCGTGAATTCATGGAGACCAACCTGCCTCTTCCTTCCAAGCCCCGGGGTTGGATTAAAGGTGTGTGCCACTATATCCTGCTAAGTGAAGTGAACGCTGTGCCAACAAAGGTGCGCACCGTCACCACCAACTGGCCAGCCTTTTTAAAAAGATTTATTTTATATAACTTTATGTGTGTGTGCATGCACACACTCGAGTTCTTTGGAGCCGAGTTACAAACCATTGTGTGATACTTGATATGGGTGCCAGGATCTGAACTTGGGTCCTCTAAAAGAGCAGTACATACACCCCTGCACAGATGTAGCCCAGTTTAGTGTCCAAGTGGGTTACATAGTAATGGGAAGAGGGACTGCCTCTGACATAATCTGATTGGCCTGCTCTTTGATCACCTCCCCCTGAGGGGGGAGCAGCCTTACCAGGCCACAGAAGATGACAATGCAGCCATTCCTGATGTGATCTGATAGACTAAGATCAGAAGGAAGGCGAGGAGGACCTCCCCTATCAGTGGACGTGGGGAGGAGCATGCATGCAGAAAGGGGAGGGAGGGTGGGATCGGGAGGGGAGGAGGGAGGAGCTTATGGGGGGATACAAAATGAATAAAGTGTAATTAATAATAATAATAATAAAAGAGGAAAAAAAAGAAAAATAGAATTTATGAGAAGGGTATTAAATATAATTGTATAACATTTTTAAAGCCAATAAATATATACAAATAAGTAAATCACCTTTTAGAACAAATAGTATAAAGGCAAACATTAAAATAATTAAATTTAGTATCACCAATTGATTATTAACTCAGTGTCTCTATCTATATTCATGAAATATATAAGCTTTTATTATAATTAAGTAAAGTTTTAACCTTCTAAATTATTTTCATGTTGAAGAATTACTTTTGACCACAAGTTTGTTACAATTAAAAATATTCTACCTGAAAAAAAAAAAAAAAAGAGCAGTACATACAAAACCACAAAAATTTCTCCAAGCCCAAACTCTCTATTCTGCCTTTCTTTTTCTTTTCTTCCTTTTTTTTTTTTTTTTTTTTTTTGTGGTTGTTATGGTTTGAGACAGTGTCTCAGTAGAAAACTTCTGCCCTCCTGGAATTCACTGTGTAGGCCAGGCTAGCCTCCAATTCACCTGCTTCTGACTCCTGAACGCTGGGATTAAAGGCTTATTCAACTGCATCCAGAGAAGAAGGATCCTTCTTCCTCCATTTCCTACGTACTGGACTTGCCGATGGCACCGCCATTTCCACCGTTGCCACGAGAGTTGAAAACCAGGGCTTTAGGCATGCTCCATCCCTGCTCTACTAACCACTCAGACGCTCTACAGCACACTACCTAAACTGCAAGCTGGGTCTGAGCTGCATGGGGAAGGGTGCTCCCTATGCCATCACCCACAGTACATGCCAGTGTGACTTCCTCACAGGAAGCTGAGCTGAAGCAGTCCAGCCTGGGATTGTCATATCTATCTATCATCTGTCTGTCTGTGTATCTATGTATCTATCTCCTATCTATAGACAGGATCTCATGTAGACTTGGCTGGCCTTAAACTCTCCATGTGTCTTAGGGTGACATTGAACTTCAGATCTTCTTGCCCTCACTGATCATGTGGTTATAGGTTTGCACTACCATGCTCCGTGTGTGTGGTGTTGCAGCTAGAACCCAGGGCTTTGTGTATGCCAGGCCGCTGAGGGAGGACGGCAGCTTGCCAGCTGTTCCTTCTCTCTTCGTGGGGTCTGCTGACCTTCCAGGAGACACACAGGTTCAAGATACAGGACCTCTTGTTTCCCAACATGAGTGTTGGTGGCCATTCACATGGCGCTGTAGGGATCTCCTAAGTCAACCATGGCCTTTCTTTCCATTTCTTTCCATCATTTCTTTATTTTTGTTTTGCTTTGTGTGGTATGTGGGTGCACGCATGTACACATGTACATGCCACTGTGCTTATGTGGAGGCTAGAAAACATCCAGGGTAAGTTCTCTCCTTCTACCGTGTAGGTCCCAGGGTTGTCAGGGCTTAGAGACAAGACAGACTCCTTAATCCACCGAGCCACTTCATAGGTATACCCCTACTTCTCTCTTTGAAACAGGGCCTCACTGTGTAGCCCTTGCTGGACTGAAACTCGTGATGGAGACCAGCTGGTACACATACTTGTGGGTGAGCCTTCCGCTTCCCCAGTGTTGGGATGACATGTGTCCACCACCACGCCTTGGTTCTACCTTTCTTGAGACAGGGTCTCATTATATAGCCGAGGCTGGCCTTAAGCTGGAGGCCTTCCTGCCTCAGCCTGCTACATGCTGGGATTACATACATGTTACTACGTCTGTCTTGATGCGCTGTGTGAATGACCTGCCAGAATGTGGAAAGGAATTCAGAAGGAGGGAATCCAGTGGCATCAACACTGTGATCAGAAAAAACAAAACACCCCCCCCCAAAAAAAAAAAAAAAACAAACCCAAAAAACATTTTACTCAGTTTATTCATTTTACCAGTCTGGCAAAAAGACATCACCAGATGCATGTATTTCTGATTCCTATCTTCTCTTTAAAAAATTTTTTTAAGTTTATTTATTATGTATACAGTGTTCTGCCTGCACACCAGAAGAGGACACTAGATCTCATTATAGAGAGATGTGAGCCACCATGTGGATGCTGGGAATGAACTCAGGACCTCTGGGAGAGCAGCCACGCTCCTAGCCTCTGAGCCCTTTCTCCAGCCCTGATTCCTGTCTCTTGACTGTGTACTTGAGCTCCACTCGGGCTGTTTACTTAGCCTTGCTCTGGGCTTGTAGCCCCTTCTTCAGCCACTCCCTCCACTGCCAGGGGCTGAGGAATAACCCAAGAAGGCAGTGAATAATGACCACTGCCAAGTTTATTCCCTTGCCAGGGCACACAGGAAGTAGGGAAAGGGAAAACTCAGTAGTTGGGAGGTGGGAAGAATAAAATGTTACCAAGGAAACACTGGGTGGCAGTGGTCCCGAAAGCCTCCTGTGTCCCTGTGACCCATGCCTTAAGTCCTAGCACTCGGGAGACTGAGGCAGAGGATGGAAAGTTCTAGGCCAGCCTGTGATCGGTAGTTGATACTGTTTCCCAACTGTGATGACAGTACCTCCAAGCCTGGTTTGTGCGGTGCTGGGGGTGAAACCCACAGCCTTGTACATTTGAAGGAAGTACTCTATCACCAAGTCACACACAGCCTGAGGTCTGCTGCTCTGTATGCTCTTGGCTTGATACATGGCCCCTGTGTGCTCCTCTACTTACGATGTCCTAGCCCACTCCCAATACGGATCAGAATTAAGGAGACTTCAGGACCACTGCAGCTCTGACCACAACTAACAACTAGCTGCTTGGTGTAAGAAACAAAACAACACAATAAAACCCAGGGATCAGAGGAAATCATGGTCCTGCACATCTGTCCTGCCAGGACTCAGAAGGTGAAGGCAGAAAGCCAGACATGGTGGCATATGCCTTTAATCCTAGTACATGGGAGGCAGAGGCAGGTGAATGGATCTCTCAGTTTGAGTTCAGCCTGGTCTACAGAGTGAGTTCCAGGACAGCCAGGGCTACACAGAGAAACCCTGTCTACAAAACAAAACAAAATAAAACAAAACAAAACAAAAAGGGTAGAGGCAGGCAGGAGGATCAGGAGTTTAAGATCAGGCACTAAGAGAGTTCTCAACCAGCCTAGGTTACTAGACACTGCCTCAAAAAAACAATAAAACAACATCAAAAATTTCCGCAAAATCCAGTTGACAGCCCTCCCAGAAAACTCATTAAAATGCTTGGTTTTCAACCTTTTTTTTTTTTTTTTTTTTTGTATCTTTTTTGTTTGTTTGTTTTGTTTTCCAAGACAAGGTCTCACTGTGTAGCCCTAAAACTCACTATATAGACAAGGCTGGCCCTGAACTCATGGGATCCACCTGCCTCTGCCTTCTGAGTGCTACAACTGAAGGTGTGGGTGCGCCACCACACCTAGCATTTTGTACCCTCTTAAAGACAGGCCTTGCTGTGTAATTGGTCAGAATCCCCCAGCTTCAGCCTCCCTGGATTACCTGCCCACACTACATTCTGGACTCCATCTCCACCTTGACCAGTGAGCTTGCTTCTTCTACTCCTGGCTACCCCACAGCTGGACTTCCTCACACAATCCAACAGGCTCTTTAGAAGGATTTCATTTGTGGTACCTGTGACCAACACGGCAGCTGCAAGGGCCACGCTCAGTCTCCTCAGTTACAAGCTGCACACTTAGCAAGTGGCTAGTAAAAGGAAGCCCAAGGACAGGCACACTGGCCTAGGATGAACTTGGCCCAGCTAGCAACACCCTCCATCAGCACTGTGGAGTAGGATATGAGTAATAGTGACAGACCTCAGAAGAGCAAATCGTTTAGGCTTCGGCTCCTATGCCCACACAGCTCCTTCCCCCAAGGTCACACCCTAGATAAATATAGGCACAGAACCGTATTCTTCATACTCAAGGGCTTGGTTTTCTCGATCCCCCAAGACAGAGGTGGTTTTAACGTCATCAGGAAAAAACGGCAACCTTTGACAACGAAGACAACAAAGCAGGGGACTAAACCCAGTGCCTTCTGCATGCTAGCATTCCCTCACCGACCTTCGGCATCTGCTGCATCATTTGATCAAGTCTCACCTGTCGCTTGGGTTAACACAGAAAAACAAATTTCGTGCAAGGCCCACAAGAATTAAATTTTTTTGGCATCGGACAACCAACCAGTCGTATTTCACGGTTCAAAGGTTACAGAAGAAGGGCCCCACCATGGTACAAACACGCGTGGCAGGGGACAAACCTTGCTCAGGGCTTCCGGCTAAAACCAGAACAAGTGTTCGGGCGGGGTTGACACCTGGAAGGCAACGTCTAGAAATAAGCAGACACCCAGGAGTCTCGGAAAGCACTTCAATTTCTGCTTTATGGCACTCTTTTTCCTGGGGCCTCTTTCTTGGCCACCGAAGAGCCCCTTCTCCTGGACCACAGGAGAGGACTATGTTGATCACCGGCCAGGCTGGAGGGTGCTCGGAGGATCAAGAGGACGCCAGTAGAGATGGTCAAGTCAACCCAAGATCAATACGTTCAAAGGTCAAGAAAGGCAAGCTTTGGGGGCTGACTCCTCTTCCCACCTTTCCTCGGATTAAATACGAAAGCCGACGAAGACGAAGATAAGGAAAAGGACGACAAAAAAGGCGGCATCTCTGGTGTCGTCCCAGGGGAGACCCTTGTTGGCCCCTTCCTCCTGCTTTTTGCGAAGGGCTTCCCTCCGGGCGCGCAGACGCCGCTCTCTCTCTAGTTGTTCTCCGTAGTGCGCCTGGTAGAAGGCGTCGAAGTCGAACATAGTGCGGCCGTCCCCGGGAGAGGCCCGAAAGCCTCCGTGAGCACGAGGGGTATAGGGAGGAGGGGGCTCGGCCGCGGGCGTCCTGGAGGGCTTGACACCGGGTCCGCGCAGGTCCTGGTCGCTGAGCAGACCTCGGTCATACTTGCGGCGGAGGACGCTGCTGCCCAGGACCAGATAAGCCTCGGAGATGCGCGTGAAGCGCTCGGCGGCCGCGGTGCTCCCGGGATTGCGATCGGGGTGGTAGAGGAAGCTCTGCCGGTAGTACGCCGCCTTGATCTGGGCCTGCGTGGCCGTGGACGGGACGCCCAGCAGTTCATAGAGGGCGGTCCGGGAGTAAGTCCTCACTCGCGAGTACAAGCCCGCGGCTGAACTTGGTGGCAACCCCGGGACCTGCCGCAATCTCCACAGCGGTGACAGCGGCCACCCCAAGCAGCGCGGGGCTGCCATGTTGGGGCGGTGGCAGGACGGCGCCCAGCCGGCCAATGAAAGACGCGAGCCGGAGCGGCGCCCCGCCCTCGGCCTTAGAGCCAATCAAATAAGAGGAAAGGCGGGGAACGTTTAGGGTGAGCGCTAGGAGGCGGTCGCGGAATTGATGACGTTGAATTTTGCGCCTGGGCTTGCCGGTAGTAGCGTGTAGCGACTAGAGATGGCTTCTCGTGGTCGGAGGCCGGAACACAGCGGCCCGCCGGAGCTGGTGAGAGGCCCGTCAGATCTTGGTCTATTTCTAGAATGGCTGCTTTTGGATTCTTCCCCTCATATCCCATGTATCTTTTTCTTCCCAACAGTTTTATGACCAGAATGAAGCCCAGAAATACGTTCGCAAGTAAGGAGAGCATCGCTGTTGAGCGGCAAGGGGAGGGAAGGGTCGGGATCGGCATGCCGCCCCAGTTATGGGTGTGTGGAAAGCATGTAGAATTTGGGAGTGGGGGTAAAGGAGGGAACCCGAGCAGATGCAGTTCGGCTACCCGGAACATGAACTTGAAACCGTCGAATTCTTGGAGAGATCTTGGGACTTCGATACCAAAGTGGGCATAGTCATTCACGTCCAGTTTACAGTAGGTCGTTTGACAGTGTGTTTGAAATATGTGGTGAAGTAGGCGGTAGTCAGGGTACAGGTAGGGTACTGTCATATTGTCTAAGTGCGGTGTCAGTGAGCCACACCCCCACCCCTCACTTGGGAATTCTAGGCAGAAGTTTTACCTTTGAGCCACACCTAGCCGTTCACTGGAGGATTCTGAAAAGCACTCAGCCATCAAGCTACAACCCCAGAAAGCAATGATTACTATTAGCAGTATTGGTCATCATGGGTTTATTACGATCCTTACTTAAATGTATAATTGCACTAAATTGTCTTGGCAACCATTGACATAATGCCTGAATCCTCTACACAATGATTTGTTTGGTTTTGTTTGTTTGAAGCATGGTCTCATAAAGCCCAGGTGTTCTTGAACTTGATATGTAGTGAAGGTGACTGAATTCCTGACCCATCTGTCTCCACCTTAAGTAACAAAATTACAGGCACTGTCCAGCATGTACGGTTCTATAGAAACTATTCTGTGTGATTGTTTACTTTAGTTTGAGAAAGACCAGCTGTGGGTCTTCTGTTCAGAATGGCAGCCAGTAGCTTGATATGAAAATTCTGTAAATCTGAGTAACCAAATATAAAGAAAAAATGCACACATGTACAAAACACATCTCGAAATTTTATGCTGATTACATATTGAAATGACACTTTGAGTATATTGGCCTAAAAATAATTATTTAGTATAAGGGGTGAAGCAAAATAGATTGTAATTTGTTTTTCCTTTTATTTTCCGATATGGACACATTCTGTAGCCATGCTGGCCTCACTTGTAATGACTCTCCTGCTTCAGCCGTCTGCACACGGAGATTATAGGCCTGCGCCGCTCTCCTCTGCTCTTCCATTTACTGTCTCTGACCCACCTCACTTTTGAGACAGACTCTCACTATATAGCCCTGGCTGGCCTTAAACTCTCAGAGATGTGCCTGCCTCTGCTTCCCAAGTTCTGGTTCTGCGGAGGTGTGGACCGGCACACCTCATGCCTGCATTATGTTTCTCAAGGTCACCAAGTCTGTAAGGTTTTTGTTTTCTGGTACTGGGGATGGAATGGATGGCCTGGCACACACTTGTTACTACTGAGGTGAATCTTTTGTTTTTTGAAGGTACTGGGGATTGAATTTAGGGCCTCTTGTATGTTGAGCAAGTGCTCTACCATAAGCATCCTTAACTCTTGTTCTGCATTGGTGATCTTTGTATTTGAGTAAGTGTGGCAGCTGACTCTTTGAGAGCACACTTTCCTAAGGAATAAAGCCCAGGAGAGTTATAGATGCTCACTGACTGTCATCTGTGGAGTGATTTGCTCGATTTCTGTCAGCTTTGCAGCTAGTGCACTTAAAATTGGTGCACAGGGGCTGGAGAGATGGATCGGATAAGAGTACTAAATGCCCTTCCAGAGGACCCAGGTTCAATTCTAGCACCGACATGGTAGCTCACAACTGTCTGTAACTCCAGGATTTGACATTCTTACACAGACATACATGCAGCAAAACAGAAAAAGCACACAAAATAAAAATAAATATAGTAAAAACTTTAGTAGAATATGTGCACAATAAAATGACATACAACTCTATCAAGTGGACTTTTGGGACTACTTTATTGATGTTGTTTTGAGACAGGGTCTAGCCCAGGTTGGCCCTAGGTTCCTGGTGTTGCCTCAGCCTTTTGAGTGCTGGAATTTTGTGGGAGCATCCATGCCTATCATGGAACTATTTTTAATAACTGCACTTGAGTTTGTTGGTTTCCAGTTCGAATTGTAGGTTTAAAATGTTGAGCAAGGGCTGGCCAGATAGCTCAGGGGTAATCCCCAAACTTCATGACTGAGTTCAGTTTCCTAGAACTTCATGTTGGAAGAAGAAAACCAAATTGAGCAAGTTGGCCTCTGGCCTCCACATGTGTGTGTGCACTAAGTGAAATAACTGGAAAGAATTTAAAATTAGAAAAATTACTTCTAGCTGATTATTCCTTTTTTCATTCTCCTGACTCTTTTGGTCTAGGAGAAATATGACCTAGAATTCCATAACCACGCCTATGTTTTTCTACTTCCCAGCTCACGGATGATTGACATCCAGACCAAGATGACTGAGCGGGCATTGGAGCTCCTCAGTTTGCCAGAGGGTCAGCCCTCTTATCTGTTGGACATCGGGTGAGGTTCTGGGGCCCAGGGTCCAGTTGTCTGGGTACAGTATCTCTGCTGCCCAGCTCCGTGAGCCCTGTGGATTGTTTCTTCCAGCTGCGGTTCTGGACTGAGTGGGGATTTTATCTCAGACGAAGGACACTATTGGGTGGGCATTGACATCAGCCCTGCCATGTTAGGTGAGTGTCTTGTACTAAGGTGACTATCCTCTTGACTGTGGAGTAGCTAAAAGATTTTGGTTGTTTGAAAAAAGGTCTTCCCATGTAGCCCAGGCCAGTCCCCAATTTGGGATTGTACTGCCTCAGCCTCCTTGTTGCAGCAGCCATCCCCACACTTTCTCTTCCTCCAATGTAGATGCTGCCTTGGACCGAGACACAGAGGGAGACCTGTTGCTAGGGGACATGGGCCAAGGAGTCCCTTTCAGACCAGGTTCTTTTGATGGTTGCATCAGGTGAGGGTCTTTACTTTCTACTTTAAATTTCGTAGACTAGTGTTTCCTAAACCTGTCTGTGCAGCGGTCACTACACGATATGTAAAAAGTTACGTGTTCAGGGCTTATGAGCCTGCTCAGTGACCATAGGCGCTTTTTTACCACACCCAACAAGCCTGAGTTGATACCCGGAACACAGATGTTGGAGAGAAAGAGGATTCTTAATCATTGTCCGGCCTCATACAGGAAGCAGGATGCATGCACAGTAGATAAATGTAGTTAAGCAAATGTACATGTTCTAAGGTTTTTAGATTTACAGGGACAAAGTCTGCTAAAAAATGGTTGTGTGTGTGCACATTCTTGTGTATGTGGGTACAGATAGGTGAAGGCAAGAGAGTATCCTCAGGTCTGGTCCTCAGACACTTTCTACCTTTTATTTCAGACAGGCTGTCATTGGCAAGATGAATTTACTTTTATTTTATGTGCGTATGGCCTGTGTGTATCTGTATGTACCACCTGCATGCCTGGTCCCTGTTATGGCTAGAGGACAGTGGAACTGGAGATGGTTTCTAGGTACGGTGTAGTGATGGGAACTGAACTTGTGTCCTGCAAGCAGCAAGTGTTCTTAATGAGTGACCCATCTTTCCAGCACCTAAGCTTTAATAATTGGCTTTGGAGTATTGACATGACTGTTAGAAATATGACATGTTATTGTGCATGGTTGCGATCCCAGCACTTGGGAGGTGGAGATTTAAGATTGCCAGGCATGGTGTCGCTCGCCTGTAATCCCAGAACTCAAGAGACAGAGGCAGGCAGATCTCTGTGAGTTTGAGGCCAGCGTGCTCTACAAATTGAGTCCTGTACAGTCAGGGCTATTCCATAACCCTGTCTCCGAAAAAGAAAAAAAAAAAAGTTCAAGCTTTTTTCATCCTCTGTCACACAAGTTGGAGGCAGGTCCTGACTCAAAGTTAAAGCAATAATATTAAAGAAATGTGAAGTGTGTGTGTGTGTGTGTGTGTGTGTGTGTGTGTGTGTGTGTGTCAGAGAAAGAGATTGTTTTGTTTTTAAAGACAGGATCTCACTATGTAGCCTTATCTGGCCTGAACTCCTTATGTGGATCCACTACCCTGCCTCTTGCGCTCAGAGATTAAAGATTTATCTTATCTCTCTATCTATTTTATATAGATGAGTGCTCTATCTGCATGTATCCCTGTATTACAGAAGAGGGCATCAGATCCCTGTGTAGATGGTTGGGAGCTACCATGTAGGTGCTGGGTATTGAACTTAGGACTCTGGAAGAGCAGCCAGTGCTCTTAACCTCTGAGCCATCTCTCCAGCCCAAGTGCTGGAATTAAAGGTGCACTCCACCTGGCTAAAGTGTTGGTTTTGTTTTGTAGTATTAGAGAGCAAACTGAAGGTCTTGCTCATGCCAGCCCAGTAGTATGGAATTCTGTGGCTGGTGTGCAAAGCAGTGAGTAGGGGTGGGCCAGAAGTGAAGAATGTCCTCAGTGGTGGTGGTACACTCCTGTGATCCCAGCACTCAGGAGGCAGAGGCAGGTGGATCTCTGGGAGTTTGAGGCCAGCCTGCTCTACAAAGCAAGTCCAGGGTATCCAGTGAAGAATGCAGCTGGAGGAGATTTGAAATCTGGGGCCTTGAACATTGACGCAAAAATACTCAATAAAATACTTGCAAACCGAATCCAAGAACACATCAAAGATATCATCCACCACGACCAAGTAGGCTTCATCCCAGGCATGCAAGGGTGGTTCAACATACGGAAATCCATCAATGTAATCCATCACATAAACAAACTGAAGGAGAAATCTGGGGCCTTAATAGATAGAGCAGAGGGGTGTAAAAAGGCAGAGGAGTGGCCGGGTGTGAGCACTGTTCGGTGGGTTTGCTTTGATTGGTGGCACCTGGAGGTACGCAGTCATTGGCTGAGAAAACATTGTCCTGGAACCCATGAAGGAAGTGAGTGCTGGCCTGTCTGCTAGTGTGTTGTGGACTGGCCTCTACAGGATGGGAGCTCCAGGCAGCAAATTATAGTGGCTAAAGGCAGAGTGCCCAGGAGCCTTTGGGGAGGGCGGTGGTCTCTCTTGACTGGCCCCTTCCTTTCCAGCATCTCCGCCGTGCAGTGGCTCTGCAACGCAAACAAGAAGTCGGATGTCCCCGCCAGGCGCCTCTACCGCTTCTTTTCTTCTCTCTACTCTGTCCTTGTGAGTATAGGCTCTCTTCCTCTGCATAGCTGTGTGTCCTTTTCCTTCCTGCCTTGAGAGTTCAGGGGCAAGGTTGAGGGGTCTCATGAGGGAATACATAACCTGTGGAGACTCAGCTAGGGGTGGTGATAGAGACGTTGAAGCCTAACACCTGGAGGCAGAGACTGGGGAGTTGGGAATTCAGGGGCAGTTTTGACTACCTAGGAAGTTCAGAGTCAACCAGAGATTTCTCCAAAATGCAAAAGAGAAAGCCCACATGCAAAGGGCTGACACTCAGCCCAGGGCCACCACAGTCAACATCTGAGACACTTGGTTGAGTGAAGACAGGGACACCATGCCCAGCACACAGAGGCCACCTGCCAACGTGCCCCTGTCCTCTGCAAGTCCCTCCATTGCCTTTTTTTTTTTTTTTTTTTTTATTAAAAACAATTTCATCCAGGTGCAGTGGTGCACGCCTGTAATCCCAGCACTTAGGGAGGCAGAAGCAGGTGGATCCCTGACTTTGAGGTCAGCCTGGTCTATAGAGTGAGTTCCAGGACAGCCAAGGCTACACCAACAAAGCCTGTCTTGGGAAAAAACCAAAAACCAAACCAAACCAACACCCCCCCCCCCCAAAAAAAAAAATGTTATGCCAGACATTGTGGCATGTACCTTTTTCTTTTCTTTTTTGTCTTATTTTATTTTACATGTATGAATGTTTTGTCTGCATGTATGTCGGTGCCCCACATTCATGCTTGGTGCCTGCGGGAGGCCAGCTGAAGGCATCAGATCACCTGGATCTGAGGTTACAGATGGTTGTGAGCTGCCACATTAGTGCTGGAAATGGATCCCAGGTCCCCCAGAAGAGCAGCCAGCACTCTTAACCATGGAGCCATCTCTGCAGCCCAGGGTGAACACCTTTAATCCCAGCACTCACTGGGTTATTTTTGTTCCTTGTCTCTTGTTTTGAGACAGAGACTCACTGTATAGACCAGGCTGGGCTTGAGCATGATCCTCCTGCCTCTGCCTCCCAAAGGCTTAGGTTATAGGAAGGCACCATCTGCCCCAATTGTTGTCTTTCTGCCTCTTACCACAACTGTAAGGTAGATGCCAGCTTTGCCAGCTGTGTGCCCCAGAAGTTCAGGAGCTTTTTGTTCCTGTTGATATTCTGAGCCGAAAGAGTGGTGCCCTGCCTGTGATGGGAGTTCCGTGAATATTTAGTAGGTGAAGGAGTATCGTCATGATTCCACAGAACACTTATGCAGTTGTCATGACGTTTCTGTTGCCTACAGGCCCGAGGGGCCCGAGCCGTCCTGCAGCTGTACCCTGAGAACTCGGAGCAGGTGAGCAGGTAGGGAGCAGGTGAGCAGGTAGCTAGGGCCGCGGGGAGGGGGAGTGTAGAACAGTTTTCTCCTGTTGCCAGCGAGTACCATGACAGAACAAGGAATTCATGCCACCTGGTGGAGAAGAGAGAAAGGGCACCCTAGTGATGGTACTGTGACCCCAGATGGCTCCCCAAGAGGTGGGTGTATGTGAAGGGGAGGCTGCTGTGTCTTCTGTTGACAGATGAAAGGGTGGGGGTGCTGGAGGTGGGCTCAGTGGGTGCACACTCATGTATACACGAGGCCTCCATCCCATAACTGAGAGACATGAAAACAGATAGGTGGTGCCAGATGGGCTATGATGTTACTCATTTCCATAGTCCAGTGGGTAGATGGGGCAGGTGAGAGGGCCCCAGCAGTTCTGCCCTGTGTAGCATGCGTTAGGGCTTAGAATGACAGTGATGGTTCTGTAGTGACAGAATGGAGTCTGGTCTAGTTGTCATCACTCATTTCCTGAGGGCAGAGAGATGGGTCCCTGCACCAGAACATGGGAATGAGCAGAACTGCTTGTTCTGATACTCCCTCGGGGTGGGGCTGCCGAGGCTGGATGCTGCCCACATTCTGCCTGGGTGCCTTTCTGGACCTCTGTGTTGGAAAAGTCCAGCTAGAGGGCACTTTAGCCTCTGTCCAGGGAGGGCTGAGGTCTGGAGCTTTTCTCCCTCCATCCGCTCCCTACCCCTCTCCTTAGCTGGAGCTGATCACAGTCCAAGCCACAAGGGCAGGCTTCACTGGCGGCGTGGTGGTGGACTTCCCCAACAGTGCGAAGGCAAAGAAGTAAGTGCCAGGGGCAGACCTGATGGCTCAGTGGGTAAGGTGCTTGCTGTGCAAGCCTGAGAGCTTAAGCTCCCATTTCCAGCACCCATGTTAAAAGGCCAGGCATGCCGAGGGGTAGTGCAGGCCTTTAATCCCAGCCCTCGGGAGGCAGAGGCAGGCGGATCTCAGTGAGCCCAAGGACAGCCTGGTCTACAGAGATCCAGGACAGCCCCTACACAGAGAAACTCCTGTCTCAAAAAACAAAACCAAGGGCTGAAGAGATAGCTCATCAGCTAAGAGAACTGGCTGTTCTTCCAGATGTCCAGTGTTCAATTCCTAGCACCCACATGGCTATAATTGTAGTCCTTTAGGACCAATGCCCTCTTCTGGCGTGCAGGTGTATATGTAGACAAAATATTCATATACATTAAAAAAAACAAAAAACAAAACAAAACAAAAAAAAAAACAACCACCACAAAAAGCCAGGCATGGTGATACTTTCTTGTAATCCCAGTGCTGGGGAAAGGGAGCTAGGCAGATCTCCGGGGAATCACTGGCTAGCCAGCCTAAGCCTAGTGATATGCCCTAGAATAGTGAGAGACCTTGTCAAAACATGAGGTAGATAGTGTCTTGAAGAATGACAGCTAAGGCTGACCTCTGACTTCCATGTGTATGTACATACAGAGCACTGGGCCTTTGTCTACACAGCTGACTGTATAAACAGAAGAATGCTGGGTAGGAGGGCAGGGCCCCCAAAGAAACAGGAAAAGACTCCTCTATTCTTGCTAGGCCTTGTTAGCCAGGCATCGTGTTGCCCTCTCTCATTTCAGGTTCTACCTCTGTCTATTTTCTGGGCCTTCTACCTCCCTGCCAAAGGTAAGGGCCTTGGGCTTCCAGGCTGTGCCTTGTTTTCCCCAATACAGGAGCATGCTGGGAGGGCTGCGGTGGCCAGGGTTCCCCATCTGGGCCTTCTGCGGGTGCTAGGAAAGAACGCCCACCCCTGTAGCCTGTCTTTCGGGCCTGCTGGGCTTCCTCAGGCCTGGATGCAGGTGTTTCTGTGCTGGGGCAGTGAGCTCCAGGGTGACTGAGAGCTTTGTTCCCCACAGGGGCTGACTGAAAGTCAGGATGCAGAGCAGGCCACCGAGTCCACTTTCACCAATGAGAGGTAAGGGGCGTAGCTGCAGGGACCAGGTGGAGGCAGGGCTAGTACTCTCTGCTTTCCCCCAGCCTTAGGTTAGACACAGCTGCAGCACCAAAGTGAGTTGTGCCTCTTGGACTGTGTCTGCCTCCTCCTCAGGCCAGGCACTGGGGCAGCCAGTGCCTCAGCTTCCTGTGCGAGCCTGCACATTCCTCTTCTTGGCACACTTGGCAGGGTCCTCCAGTCCTGTCCACCACACTACCACCCCTCAGCCTCTTTCAGCTAAGGCATCAAATCCCCTCCGTGCATCTTAGGGTCCCTGAGCTTCATGCTAGTGTCTGTGACTGACTGGAATGGTTGTCAGTCCGTCCGTGCTCTTCTGGGCTATTCCCGCCCTCTTCCCTCTCTTCCTCACTCCACCACGTCCCTTCCTTCCCTCTTTGTCTTCTTTCTGGCAGCTAGGGGCCCTCCAGATTCCTGTCACAAGCCATTCTTAACACCCCACAGTGTGCATGGCTGTGTGTCATACTGTTCAACCTCTCCGATTCCTGCTGTTCACCTGCATGGCTGCCCTTCCCTTCCTTCTGTTGCTACCTCTGGCACACGGCCTGCCTTCTTTCCTGGTGGCCTGAGTGGCTGCATACAGCCCGGCCCAACACAGATACTGAGGAGCTCTTGGACCCCTGCTCTGCCACTGCTGAGAGAGGTTTCAGCAGGGCTAGGCCATGGCTCTGGCCTGCACCCATGGGCCTCAGTCTGTACTTAGTAGCTCCTTCAGGCTAGGCTTGGTTACTTCTTTCCAGCAGCGAAAGGGAATGTGGCTTTGGGTGGGAGAGCAGGCTCCCTCTCTCCCTGGGCCTCTTGTCCTTTGGGCTGTGGGGCTCACGTTCTCTTCAGCCAGGGCTGGAGGCCAAGATCAGCATGTGAGGTGCATCTTCGTCAGGACTGCTGTGAGCAGGCAGCCTTGTTTTCCAGCCTCAGACAATTGACAGAAGCTGGAGTGGGGGAGGGGGTGTATGGGGGTGGGGGGGTGACACTGGCTTCTCTAGGCACATTGAACCCCAACCTCCATTAGGACTGTAAGTGGCCGCGTTAAGACTATGAAGGTGCCGTGGCTTCCCGTGGACACCACAAGGCTCTGGAGTCACCCCATGGACAAGGTGGCCAGACACAAGGCCATCTCCAGAGATGCCTTGCAGGGGCAGGACCACACCCCCCAGCTTTGCTAACGCAGGGTTCTGGTCCTGTTGCGGGGGTGTTCAGAGTGGAGATTATAGAAAGGGAGAAGGGGCCTTAGGGCTGCCACTGTGCACAGCTGAGCCATCCTCTCACAGCTGAGCCATCCTCTCACTTCTGTCTCTGGCCAGGGCTCCTCCACACAAGAAGGCAAGGCGGGACCTGGTGAAGAAGAGCCGGGAGTGGGTCCTGGAGAAGAAGGAGAGGCGCAGGCGCCAGGGCAAGTGAGTACCGCCTGGGGCTGGGCAGGCAGGGAACACTGTTGTAGGATAGTGTTAATAATATTTACTATTAATTCATAGAATTTTATGGCTGTTGTTATTTAACCCACTATCACCAATAAAAGACTGTAGACACCTGTTAGATTTTTAATATATCTATACACTAGAACTGAGCAGAAACTAACCCCATAAACTATTATTTTGTCTCCCAGATCCATATCCCATGCTGTTGGCTTTAATCACTCCTATCTTGTTTACTTCCCATCCATAATCTCCATAAGTACTTGCACATGGTTTTATCTGGGCTGCTTCTCTCCATCACCGATCCTCAGAGCAGGCTCCTCCTGGCCATATGGTTCTTCTTTACACTAACCCATGGCGACTCCGCTTTCTCCTTCCTCCTCTCCTGTCTTCTCTCCTTCCTCCCTTCCCCTCCCATGATCCTTCTGTCCTCCAAGCCTTCAAGCCTTGGCTCCAACTACCTCACTTATGCTGAACCAAGGTTTGTAGGAACTTTATTTAGCCAATCAGGGATAATTTTGGAGGCAAGGTTACATAGCATCAATTGGTATACGTGTGGGTTTGCTCACAGAACAGGAAGAATCTTGGGGGTTGGGGACAAGCAATTAACATGTGAATACATGGTGGTTCTAGATCAGCCACCACAGAGGGCCATGCTGTGTCTGCCAAGAAGTCATCTGCATTTGCGGTCTCCGAGCTTTTCACTCTCCTGGGTCTGTTCTGTCTGCAGGGAGGTGAGACCTGACACGCAGTACACCGGTCGCAAGCGCAAGCCCCGCTTCTGAGGGCACTGCATCTAATCAAGCAGAGAGCCTGGCCACCACACCTGCATTCAGTCCTGCAGATGGCCCTGACCGCCCACCGTTCAGCGGCTGGGGCTGTCCAACCCTGGGCATGCCTCTGAGGAGCTTCTAGATTTACCTCAGCAGCTAGCAACACAGTACTTTAGAAGAGTTGGGAAGCCCTCAAAATATTTTTTCACTAAGAGTTCCAGGAATCTGGGCTTGGCAGCCAGATCCTGTAATCTCAACACCCTCCCAGGAGGCTGAGATAACAAGATGGAAAGTTCCAAGCCAGTCTGGGCTACACTGCAAAAACCTGTCTTAAAAAGCCAAAAAGAAAAAATTTTCTAAGGATGTTTTATTTTGCCCTAAATACATTAATTACTTTCTAAGTAACTGGCTCTACGTTACCCTATGTCTCGGGTTCCTCTGTTGGGGAACCACTCCATGGCTCCCAGGCAGGAACTGGAACCGCATTCTGACTTTCCAAGGCCACAGGTGGGCCGTTTAGTGGGGACTCATCTTGCATGTCATGTCATGCAGGGTTGGGAATGGAGTTTGGGAGTCAGGGTATCTACTGCCTCAGGTTTCTGCCTTTTGCCTCAGGTTAAATATCTCAGCACTTGGTGTGGCAGGCTCTGGGGTGTGGTGTCCACCAGGCTGAGGATATTCGATGGTATGTTCTGTGAGCCCTAAGAGGGAGACAAGGCCTGAACATGGCATAGCAGGAAGGTGCTGAACAGGGAGGGCAAGGAGCCTAAGGCCTTACCCCATCTCCCAAGGGCCAGATCCAAGACCTTGGCTCACCAGGTATAATTCCTACCATGCAAAGGAGGCATTGAGATTTCCAGAGCCCACATGAAACTGGACACAGCATTGATGCTAGACATGAGTTACACAGAATTCCCCCAAACTCATGCATCAGCAATACACAGTAGGTGAAAGATCTTGCCTGCCTTGAACAGGGTAGAAGTGAGGACCAAAGTCCAAAGTTGTCCTTGGATCTCCCCACACATGTAAGAAGGGTCCGGACAGACGGCTCAGTGATTAAGAGCATGTACTGCTCTTCCAGAGGACCAGAGCTGGGTTTCTACAGCCCACACTGGGAGTGCATAACCAGCCACAGTTCCAGGTCCGGAGGATTCACTTCTGGCCTCCACGGGCAGCTATGCTCTCTCTCTCTCTCTCTCTCTCTCACACACACACACACACACACACAGCCAGGCAGGACGGTACTCCCTTTTAATCCCAGCACCCAAGAAGCAGAGCAGGTGGATCTCTGAATTTGGAGTCAGCCTTAACATAGTAAGTTCCAGAACAGCCACTACAGATACAAATGTTTATTCTACATAAAAATCTCACAAAACGGGCAGCTGGTTTTACCAGGACCTTTGGTGATGGGGTGGAGGGAGGTGGCCATGAGAGAAGGCAGCACGGACAGTGGTCACAGTCACTGGGCAGGAGCAAAGCTGAGGGAAAGGGGCACACAAACATGGCCCCAATTCCTGCTGCATGCGCTCGCATGCACACTCCTTGCCTGTGGACGAGAAAAAGGGTCCTGGGGCAGGGGGTACATTTTTTTTTTGACTGTGAGAAGCCCCAAGATGGCAGGGGAGGGAAGTGGGGAGTTCCCTCCCAGGGTGGCTGCTGAATACTGCATCCAGTACACCTGACACCACGTGGCACGTTAGTGGGAGACAGGGCGGGGAGACTGCAGGCCCAAAGTGACACCTGGCTTTCAGAGCATAGAGAACAGGAATGACTGTCTCCAACATGCAACGCCAGCCACGACCCAACATGCCTGTCAGAGACGGTGGGCAGAGGCCTGTGGCCTGCTCCACCCCTCCAGCTCAAAGATGGCACCACCAAGCTTCTTGCAGCAGGTCAGTAGGCTCAAGGGACATGAGTCCCAGGCTATAGTAGGGACAGCCGAGGCCAGTGACACTGTCAGGCTTTGCCCAAAGTGGGAGGTACTGGGTGCTTGTAACCCACCAGCAGTGTGGCACCCTGAGCCTCCTGGCAGTGGGCAGCTCACAAATACTCAATGCTGAGCTATCCCTCAGGACATTCCCTCCCCTAACCTGAAAAGCAGCACCATGTGACCAGCTGGACCCCACCCTCTAGGTGCCTTGGCATGGTGGGGAGAGCTGGAGAAGCCTGAGGGCAGGGCAGGTGAGGGTAAGGGTAGGGTCCAGAAAGTAGCCTGAGTCCTAGGGAAGGGTGGACCCCAGGCCTGAAGAAAGACGGACCTGGCCAGGGCCTGAGTCTTACCCACACCGACTTATTCCCAGCCCCTCTGGCCATTCCCAATCCTGCTCCCCTCTACCTCCTGGACAGACACACACTGTCACAAGATCATGCACACGACACGGCTTGGGGCAGGGTGGTGGGAACGGGAGCCTCATGGCAGAGAGGGAGCAGTGTGGGATGGAGGGAAAGGGCTCCCAGCCAAAAGGCAGGAGTCAGGAAGGGCAACCCAGCTAGGTGCAGCAGCCAGGGACCTCCTCCGGGGGACCCATCCAGAATGGAGCGGTGGGCAGCGTGATTTTTATCCAAAGATGCCCCCGATGGTGGAGGCGATGACGATGCCCAAGATCACACAGCAGATGATGATCATGATCTTCTTCTGCAGGGAGACAAGGGCAGGCCTCAGAAGGGCAGTGCGGTTACCGAAGGGGAGGGGCCAGGATGGGGCTCATGCTGGCACTCAGCTGTGGAGTGGCTGCCCCAGTGAGGGGCTAGGGTGGCTCAGCAACAGATCTTTTGTCTAGCGTGTGCTAGATTCTAGGTTCCATCCCCAGTATGGGGGAGAGGAAATGAGGTAGAGGTCTTGGAGAGTCAGGACTAGAAATAGGTTGTTGATGGAGAAGTAAAGACTATGGCTGGAATTTCTAAAGACGGGAGTGAGGCAGGTAGGGAGGAGCGTCCCGTAGTCTGGGGCTCTCCCGGGCCTGGGCATGGGCAGAGCTGGCTACTGACCCTGCGCGCCTTGCTCTGGTACTTGACGGCCTTCTTGGTGTCAGACACGGCCCTCTCCACGTAGTCCACAGCGTGCTCCACATTGTACTCGATCCTGTCAATCATCTCCCCCTGCAGGACAGGTACCCACGGTCCAGGCCTCCCTCCTCAGAACCAGAAGGGAGCTCAGGGTCGGGATTCATTCGGGAAGGTACCCTGAAGTGAGAGAGAGAGAGAGAGAAGAGAGTTGTGAGGAGGACGTACAGCTTCTCACCTGTGCCCCAGGCCTGGCACCTGGCCAGGGCATCCTGAGTACAAGACATGCCAGGAGCAGCTCCCACTTTCCCCAAACAGCAACCATCCTGGGTGGAACTGGCCATGCAGTCTCAGGCAAGGGGGAGGACTATGCAGCTGGGACCCTAGGAAGTGGACAATGCCAGGCAAAGGGAAGGTAGGAGTGGGTGGGTTGCAGTCTGAGCCTGCCCTGGCCAAGGCTTGCCAGGTGAGCATGGGCAAGCCTCTACTCTTTCCTTAGTGACCCTCTGGCCAGCCCACAATCCTCTTTGGGTCCCACGGTCTTCACCTGGCTGTGACACTGCCTCACGAGACTTACAGCAATGTTGGGTCTCAGTCTGCTGCTTCTCCTCATGGCTTCTCCTCAGGACATGGCAGCAGGTCCTCAGACCTCCCCACTTCTTAAGGTTATGTCACACCTACCCCTAGCATCCCTGGGCTAGCTAGGCAGGATGTGTGAGCCTAGCATTCAAGAAGCTCAGGAAGAGGATCAGGAGTTCAAGGCTAGCCTGGGCTACAAAGTAAGACACTTTCTTACAGAGGTAAAGAAATCACAAAACACAATGGCTCCTCAAGACCACAACCAAAACAGACAAACAGTGCCAATAACAAAACCTCAACCAAGCCAGGTGTGGTAATACAGCTAAAATCCTAGCACTGAGGAGTTAATGTCTAGCTTGGGCTAAATAGCGAGATTGTCTCACAAAGGCAGAACAAAACGAAATAAAAACTACAGCTCAGTGCTGTGGGGTGGTGGTGAACACCTTTAATCCCAGCACTCGGGAGGCAGAGGCAGGTGTATCTCTGTGAGTTCAAGGCCAACATGGTCTATAGAGTGAGTTCCAGGACACCCAACACTCCACAGAGAAACCCTGTCTCTAAAAACCAAAACAAACTAAAAGTCAACAACAAAATCTACATCAACAAAGCCAGACATGGTGGCTCACCCCTGCAATCCCAAAACTCAGGAGGCTAAGGGAGGAAGATCACCTTAGGCTTGAGGCCAGCAGGCTGTAGAGGAAGACCCTGTCTCAAGACAAAAGCAAAGGGCTGGAGATGGAGCTGTTGTTCATGGTTGCCGAGAACGCAGGAAGCTCCGGTGTGAACGGATTTACTGGCACACACACTTGCGATCACATCATTTGGGAAGTAGAGGCAAGAGGATAGGTAGGTAGTTCAAGGTCCAGGAGGTGAGATGGCTCAAGGGAGCAAGCTGATTGCCGCCAAACCTGAGTCCAACCCTTGGCCCCATGTGATAGAAGAGAACTGACTCCTGCAATCTCAAATAGACACAGACACAGACACTGATTGGCACACACACACAGATGTGAAAGTTGTTGTTTTAATAAAAAGCTCACGGTTCAGCTGGAAAGATGGCTCGGTGGTTATGAGCACTTGTGGCTCTTGCGGAGGGCACTACTTCAATTCCCAGCACCCACATCCATCTATATCTCCCAACCATCCAAATCTCCAGTCCTAGGGGATCAGACACCCTCACCCGGCCTCTATGGGCCCCAGACACATAGTGTACAGACATGTAAGCAGACAAAACATACATACACATTAAAATAATAAATTTTCAAAAGTTTTTTAAATTCAAGGTCAGACTGGTGAGATGGCTCAGCGGTTAAAACACTGGCTGTTCTTTTAGAGGTCCTGAGTTCAATTCCCTGTAACCACATGGTGACTCACAACCATTTCTAAAGAGATCTGATGCCCTTTTCTGGTTTGTAGGTGTACATGTAGACAGAGCACTCATACATTTAAAAAAAAAAATACATAAATTAAAACAAAAGTTCAAGGTCGTCGTAAGCTGCAAAGCAAGCTTGAGGCTGGCATGGCATATATGAGACTAAAATCACACCCAGTGAGAGCCAAATAAAAAATAAAACAAAGAAAGAAAGCCGGGTAGTGGTGGTAACACACCTTTAAGTCCAGCACTGGGGAGGCTGAAGCAGGTAGATCTGAGTTTGAGGCCAGCCTTGTCTAAAGAGTGAGTTCTAGGACAGCCAAGCCTACACAAAGAAACCCTGTCTCGAAAAACCAAAAAAGAGGGCTGGAGAGACGGCTCAAGCCGTTAAGAGCACTGGCTGCTCCTCCAGAGGTCCTGGGCTCAATGCCTGGCACCCACATGGAGGCTCACA